AACCATTAATATTGTTTTTTCATTATAAAGCAATTTTCACAGCTGCCAGGGTTAAGCACAAGTACTTACAAATAAGCTGATTATACATAAAATACACCTGAGTTTTGAGAATTATCATCTGCAAAATTAACCATAAAACCAAACCTGTAGTATGAATAAACAATTTTCTACAGCTGCCAGCACCTTTAGATACAGCACCATCCTGAGAACAACAAAGAATCCTCACATCTCTCAAACCGAATGCATCACACACACAAAAACGTCTGTTTTCAGCGATGCAGCCTTAAGCCCCAAAGATTACCCAGCAGGAGTTCTAAGCACATTATTTAAGTCCTGGACTGAATTTACTGAAAGCTGTTAAAGCATATGACAAAACGTTTTAATTGGCCTTTTTCTTTTTTCCCTATTTTTCTACATATTCTACAGAATATCAGACTCTTCACTTAAAAACTGTCAGAATCGTTAATCATGAGGTTTTGAAAACCTTGTTTTCTTACAGCCATACCCTCCTTTCCATCCAATAGTCAATTCTAAAATAAATTAATAGAAAATATGAAACTTTTAATTACGGTAATCATCTTCGAATAGTTTTTTTTTCTTTCACACTCTTCTACCACGTTTTTTCACCTCAACTAAGGCCCACCTGCCATTATATCCGGATTATCTGTTCACAACTCCTCTTTCCACAGACACGCGGCTGGTGGCCGCGGTGAGCACACAGCCCGTGTCAGCGCGGATCCCCCGAGCCGCCGGCGCTGTGCCTCATGCACGACCCGTTCTGACGTCCGTGCCCGGGCACGAAGCGATCTGTGCAGGCTTCGCTTCCCGCCGGGGGCTCCGACGGCGGCAGCAACGACACGGAGCGGGCAGCGGCCGGGAACGATACAGAGCATTCGAGTACAGCCGTGTCAGCCCGGCACAGAGCCGTGCCATGTTGTGACAGCCCCAGCCGGGCCCTCACATCGGCTCCCGGGGCCCCGCCACCGACACGCGGGCCCTCAGCGCCCGCCTGCGGGTCTGCAACCCGCACTGCCCCGGGCACAACGCCCACCTGCTGCCAAAGGCTCAAAATTAAAGGCTGAGGATTCTGTGTTGCTCTGCCAAGTGTATCATTTCTTACTAAAAACTGAAAGCAAATACTTCAGCCCCCACTCTTGCCGACGGCCACAGCAGCTGTCAAATTACTGTATCGCTACAGGTTCTTGTATTTCAGTATCAACAGGACACGAATTTCGCACATTCACAGAATAGTCACACTTGGAACGGACTCACGGACACCGAGAACTCCAGCCCTTAAGCAAATGGCCCGTACAGGGGTCGAACCCACAACCTCCGTGTTCTCAGCACCGTGCTCTGACCATCTGCGCTCATCTCGGGCTCCCGCCCGCCCACACAGCCGGGCGGTGGGTGCGGGCCCTGCCCCGGGACAGGGGTTCCGGCTGTGAGCGCCCCGCGTGAGGCGCGCCCGGTGACACCGAGTCCCTCTGGGGCCCGCCGGCACAGGCCGGGCCGGCGCAGGGAGCGGCCGGGAGCACGGCGGGGAGAGCGGAGCCGGCGCGGTCGGGCGGTACCTTGCAGTCGTTCCGCACGAACATGACGCCATGTCCCGGGTAGATGGGCCCCGAGCAGAAGTAGCACTTCTCGATGCGCATGGCGGCGGCGGCGGCGGCGCGGGCGGAAGCGCGGCCCAGCTGACCGGAGGCGGCGGCGCGGGGCGGGCCCGGCTCCCCGAGCGCCGCCGCGCCCCCTGCCGGCTCCGCCGCGCACCGCGCCCGCCCTCACCGGGCCCGCCCGGGCACGAGGCCCTGGCTTCTGTTTATAAAGGAAAAATTGTGTTCCAGGGCGAGAAATTAACGAATCAATACTAACGTAAGGAGAGACAGAGTAACCCAAGGGGAAAAAAAAAAAAAAAAAAAAAAAAAAGAGATTTAGAGATAGATTTTTACGTTTACAGTTGATTTACCATAAAAGTCAGGCAACACTTTCTGTGCTGTTTTCGTACCTGTAAAATCCAAAATCTCAGCAAAATTTGAAGTTCTGCCTAAAACCAGTGGTTCTGCACACCGTATAGGTACCTATTACTCCTTCTGTTCCCTCTCCTGGAGTTACCTGTTTATGGGGAAAGGATCTAAATCCTAGGCCCTGAAGGTTCCAAATTGTCTGGAATTGGAGAAGGTAATCTCTCTTTTCTTCAACTGTAGGATGCGATCCCAGTTCTGAGTCTGAGATCCTCCTCACCACTTAAGTCTTTACCCCTACAATTCCTGCTTCTCCATTTAAAAGAAATTACATTTTTTCACCTGATTTTTCATCTGGTGAAAAATTCATGTGTTGAATTGCTTGTGCCTCTGAAGTAGTCTTTGCCTTCTGGTTTCTAAAACAACACAAGAAAGGCAATCAGCTTGGTGCCGTATTAAGAAATATAAGACAAAGAAAGAAAACTTGCTTGAGCAGAGTGGAGTCATTATCCATACAGGGGCTGTCTGCAATCTTTGTGAAAACCAGACGTCGGGCACATCTGCTGCAGGAGAGCCAGGCAGGAGCCCAGGGCTGCACAGGATGTTAATGACTCCACACTGCAGGCCAGAGCGAGGGCTCTGTGCCTGGGACAGAGGATGGCAACCAGGGTGATAAGAGGAAAAGGTAAACACACACAATCCAATTTTATGAGGGAAGCCGTGTAGACAAGTTTACAGCTAGAGGCAAAACCAAATAGTAAACAAGTTTGCTTAGGTCCAGGGCTGTGCTCCTTTTTCAGTTTGATTGAGTTTCCTGCCTATGCAACTTTTTTTCCCCATGGGCTGTATTTATTTCACTTTTCCTGGCAGAGGATAGCTTTTTCCTGGCAGAGCACTGTGTTGTGAAGTCTTTGGTGGCTTCTACAGTTTAAACACTTTGAATTACAGACTGTCACTAATACATCCAGCAGACAGACAGGATGTGAGTGCACAGTGATAATACAAGCACTTACCATTAGATTTTCACCCCCAGCTCTTTTTCTCACATCAAAGCACTAATCCCCTCTACAAGCCATTACACTGTAGATTTGAAGTGCTTGTTCCTGACTAAAAGGCAATATAGACTGAAGGTTGCTGGTGACAGAATCCAAATTAATTATAAAAAAACAATATGTACTTCTACTCCATTAATAGTTATTCACAGACAGAATTAGGGATCCAGCTGAAACACAGCCTCACTGGAAGAAGAGATTTTGCAGCAAACCAAGTGGCTCATTTGTTCTTGACACAGATTACTACAGCAAGAATTATTTCACCAAACAATCTCAACTCACTACCTTAAACTCATAGCAAAGTTCTGATCTGCAAGCATTTAGATACTTGTACAAGTTTCCTAATAGAAGTAAAATAACTGTCATACAGTCATATGAAAGAATAAACAACTGTCAGGCAAATGCACCTGTAGATCAGGTTCAGAGACATATGATCATGTTGGGTGGAAGACACTTCTAGAGGTCATCTAGACCAAAGCTCTGCTCATAGTAATACCAGGCTCAAGGCCACAGCCAGCTTAAGTTTTTAGTGTCTTCAAGGATGGAGATTCCATAACTTTCCTGAGCTCCTGTTCCAATTTCTGACCACTTGTATGGTGATAATCTTTTCCTACTATGTCTTCACTTTCTAGAGAATGTTTCTCTCTTGCCTCTTCCATATCCCTGTGCCCTCTGAGATGGGTCTGACTCCACCCATTAGAGTTCAAAACAGCAGAAAGGTCTCCCTTAGCTTAAAGCTAAGCCAACTCTGTTCTGTCTCTTCCTACCCCTTGTGCTTCAGCCCTCTGATCTTGGTGGCATCTGCTGGACTCACTTCAGTGTGTCAATGTCTTTATTCTACTGAGGTGTCCAAAACAGGGTACAGAACTCCAGTCAATTTTATAATTACTGAAGATAAGGAAACCTGACTTTCCCAATCTGCTGCCTTCATTTTACCCTGGATACAGCTGGTCTTCTCTGCCACAGCAGCACAGTTCTGCAATTTGGTCAGCCTGCTTTGGAACAGGATGCTCATCCCCTTATCTGAAAAATGTTTTTTCAGCTAGCACTACTGCACTGGGTTATTGCAGCCCAGGTGGAATAGCCAGTGACACTTGCCCTTTTTCAACTTAGTGAGTTCGGCTCATTCTCTTGCCTGTCAAGGAATCTCTGAATATTAGCAATGTCCTCCAGTACATTATAACCTACCTGGTAATAGACACTGCTCTTAATGGAAGCAGTTACTCTGAAAAATCAAGCTCCTTACCTTTGTAGAAGCAATAACGTAGACAAAATATATTGTTTGATTCTCTTTGCTCTGAACATGCCACACGCTCAGATGAGCAGCATTCTGAATGTCTTATGAACACAGAACTGATGTCTCCATTGTCTTCTCTGGGTTTGGGCTCCTCCTGGCACCCCCCAGCATTCACCAGGCCCCGTCTGACTGGTTTGGTCAGAGAGGGTCACCAACAAGTACCTCGACCACAGCACAGACCTTGGACACGTGTGAGCAAAGAATCCTCACAACACCCAGGGACAGTGCAGGACACAGACTGACATTGAACTGAGACAACAGGAAACGTTACAATTCAGTTCAACAGTGCTGACAAAGCCCATATCAGAAATGTTTAAATATTTTTTATCATAATAAGAAATCCTGGGACAATCCATCTTAATGGAAACACTTTCCAAAACTTTGTTCAATTACAGATCAATCTGTAATTGAATCTGTCTTCATGTGACACTGAATGGAAACAACTTTTTTTGAAGTAAGTTTCATGTCACATTAGAATTCTTGTTTCTTTGTTTCTTAAAACCAGTACTAGTCTAGAAAGAGCAGTGTAATTAACTGTCAAGAAACATTTACCATGATTTCTTATGAGAATTTAAAAGGGAACAAATAATTCAAACAGATAAATCTTATGTCACATTTCAAAGGCTGACATCAAAGCAATTTTATGTAGATCCTCTTTGTAAATAGTTACAAATAATAGGCATGACACAAATATGACAGTTTCAGTATTTAATATTTAATATCCAATTTAAACATAAGTATTCAAAAGGAAATATTTTTACACTATTTCAGTAGTCACTTAGCTCAACAGCTGGTTGCAATGATCCTTAAAGTTTTCAGGAACTGGATGGAGCTATAAGCATGAAAACTCCCATTTTAAGTTAATGCATGACAAAGTTCCACTGCAACCCTCTGAAAAGCAAAGAGTTACATTAAAAGAAATTCAGACACTGAAGTACATTGAAATGTATTGTGTCTTACACTAGAGTTTCTTACTCTACTGGTTAGAAACATGATGGTAACTTCAAAAGGCACTCTGAATTAAACTACAGTAACTCCGGTCTACAAGCATTTTTAGAAGTGGAGTAGAAAAAACCAAAACCCTATACTCATATAAATTTCTTTTATCTCTGTCCTAGCCCCAGAGCAGTCTAATTATATTGCACTTTTAAAATATTCTGTGTAGGCTGTGATAAAAATCTAATATTTACACGTTGTGTTTGTTAAAGAACAATGCATTACTGTGTAAAATATTTTAAGAACCAAGTTTTAACACTTATTCTTGTATTCATTAATATAACCGGAAGCTACATCAATTTTTTTTTTCCTTAGATCCTATTCTAGAAACATTTTTGGTCCTTCCTTCAAAAGTTTTGTTATGCTGCAATTCATGTTCATAACTGGTATCAATACTTGCCTCAAATTGCAGTAGTTAGAATATTTAAATAAATAAATACATAATTTCTAAAGAAGCAATAGCTTTGGAGTTCTGTAAACAAGCTGATGTGGAAAGTCTGTAACAAGACTCAATTTGGCATGTTATGACTTTAATTGGCAATACCTTACAATTATACAACCTCTGCCAGGGTAGAAAAGAGTTTGGTAGGCACATCTTATAAATCAGTCTGAGCAAACGTCCAAAAAATACTGATTGTTTCCTAGGTCATATGAATAAATAAAAATGGTTAGAGTAACATGATCCACTGAAACCAAAAATTACATTTATGTGATCCATAGAGGGGGAGAGAGAAAAGTAATTCTATTCTTTTTAAAATACAATCTAAAGGAAATGAACAAACCATAAATGACTGTATGACAACCAAGATGTTCAGGACACAAAGGTTGGCAGACAAAAACAAGCATTATAAATTCATAGAAATACTGATCTACAGGACTCTTATCTTAGCTGCATCTCACCAGAAGACAATAATCATTCATTTCTCAATCCAAATTTGAAGAAACATTCTCAATCTGTGTTTGGTAAAACAAATTCAGTGCAAAGCACCAACTCTGATGAAATTTTCCTGACATCTAGGTTGCCCTACATTCCTGTTAAAACATGAGTAGCAATATGAAAGAAGCATAACAGATGCACAGTTATGCCTTTTACATAGAAATTTACGTACATGCATGTTCTAGAAATTCAGATGATGTCAGGAGGTCTCGTAGGCTGCATTGGATACATTTCATATAGTACAGCTGTAGTTTACATGTTCAATTACATGACATGCCCTAAGTCCTCTGTGTGCACACCCCTGTGTTTCTCTGGAGCTTTTTATTCTGTACTGAAGAGCTTCCCTTTTGTTTTCGTCACTGAAAACTGATGGATTAGGAGAGCAAGGAGAAACCACTCTCAGGCTTTTGTGGAAAACACAGGATGTGTTCTTTACAATTGTTATTAGTTGGTGAAATGATTAAATGTTTCTGTTAAAAACCAAGAAGCAAGTTGGTTATCTTGTTAGGAGACACCAAGAGCTGTCACAATATCTAAGTTAAATGCCTACTCTGGGTAGTTGATGGAGACTGCCAAGGGCAACTGCAAACCCTTCAAGAAGCCTACCCTTTCTGGCTGTCCACAGAGACATGTTTCTGAATTTGGTAATAAAAATTCCTTTCCTCCCCTTTCCCCCCCAAGTAGAGAATTAGAGGAACATCCAGTGCTAAACCGAAAAATAAACCTCTGTCCCACAACTAATAAACTGCATCCCTTACAAGTGAAGATCAATGTTGTTTGAGAGAAAGCAAATAAAAATTTGTATCAAGAATTAATATAGCTCATTAAATAACTACACAAAGCGATTTGTCCTGAAGTTAAACAGGTAAGCTGCAACTGTACTGTATTATACACATTAAAGTTAATTGTAACAGGGCTAACAGCCACATCTGCCTTTTTCCTGCTCCTCATTCAGTTGTTCTGTAGAGCTGTGCCCATTGGAGCGCACCACCCCTTCAGGGATCCAGGATTTATCCACACATCGTTCCATGCGCTTCATAATGAGGTCAAGCAGAGTTTCAATGGCTTTGCTTACATTATTCCCATTTGCTGCACTAGTTTCAAAATACGGTATTCTGCAGGAGACAAAAAAAAAAAATCTTACATCACACAGTTGTCATTCACCAAAGAAAAAAAAATACAGTACCACTGCCACATACTTAGAACTCACACTAAGATTGTCACTGCTACTCCATAGCACAAAGACACTAAGTGCTCAGTCATTTGAAATTAGAAAGAAATTATGAAATTGCTGCCTGAAGATAGGGCAGAAGAGCAAACGTTAATAGAGTCTACAATTTATAGAGGCACTTGTCAGCATGATTTCCCAAAGTTGTGCTCCTAAGGTCTGTTTTTTTAAACTCCATGTCCTGCAAGAGATGCAGGTACTCCAGAGCTGATACACACAGAAATCAGTGAGGAGAACACTTGTGCACACAAGGACATACAAAGTAATTGCAGGAAAAGGAATACTGCTATGGCCATTCCTCTGCAGGCAAGGCATTAAAGACTCACAAGGGGGTAGTAGTCATCACTACAGAAGGTGACTTTCTTCTATTGACACCACAACTAAACTTTCTTACATAAAACAAGAAATCTCAGTGCTCAGAACACCTATGTCTTTGTCAAGAAAAGTTTCTGGCACCTTGGTTTCTAAAGTACATTGCTTGTTTTCTTTATTGTTGTGGATCAGGATGTTCCTCTGTGGGTCCATAGGCTATGGCCTTCTGTACTTAGTGCTCCCCACAGCACGGTGCTACAGTGGCTGCATTCGTGTTACTGTCCAGCAAACTGATACCATCACTTCAGAATTTTTAATTTAAATTTCTTACTTAATTTGCAAGACTTGATGAGCAGCCAAATGTATCTTACTGTGTCTGTGCAGGTCTCTTGCAATCTGTTTCAAATACATCACATAACGTACAAGGCCCTTCCACAGAAGGGGATATTCACTATGTCACACTTTAGTGACCAGAAGACTGTTCACTGCAGCAGGATTTATCTTGCCTCTCCTCAGGAGAAAGTGACTCCTAGCAGCCATCCTGTCTCACCTCTACAGGGCAGAGAACTTTGTAACTGCCTACAGATTGGATGTGGCCCACAGCCTTGACTTTTAGCTCACTATTCCTAAATTAAGTTGCATTTTCAGCCACAAAGATAAATACTTCATAAATTATTTTCAGAAGTCACATGCAAAGAGATTTAAGATATGATCACATTCTATCTGCTGCTGTTTAAACTTCTTGCTCCTTCACAAGCAGCTGGTTAAAATACCACATGCACTTGCTGTTGTCTGTGTAACATGGACTTCAAACAAGCATTTTCACAGGAGAAGGAAAAAGTAAGAAGGTATTACTGCACTGAACTTTCTCTCTCATAGACAGATTGCCTCTAATTTGCCTTCTTCAAGGCCAAGGTAAGCTAATTTGTGCCTAGAAAACATCGTGACACAGCAGAAGACCTGCAGAACAAGACAGCTGGCACTGAGGAGCCAGTGTTCATGACACCTGTCTTGTGGGCTTTACTTTGGAGCAGTTCTCCTCTGTCCCTCCAGAAGGTGGTTTAGTGGTTGGAGAACATCATTTAACTTAGTTTTCATTTGAGAGGGAATCCAGTTCATGTGCTAGAAAACTGCTCCACTATGAATTAAAACACAACAAATGCATCAGATGATTTCCTTCAGAAGTGTGTTTCTGATTCTCAGTGAAATGCAAATGTAATCCAAAGATGAGCCCCATTAAAGAGTTAAGGGAGTATAAAAGTACAAATTAATATCTGATAGGAACAAAGATTTCACAGACTTCCTTCAGAGGCACATGACCTGTGCCTGCCAGGAAGGGGAAGGGCAAGGCTACCCTGTCTTCCTACTGGTCTGACTCAGTTTTCAGATTCCCTGGGAGCTTGTGAGAGTGCAGATGCCTCAGCACAGGTAAGAGCAAAGAAGGGACCCCATTAATCACCTGCCTCTCTAGATCAATTCTCTCTCTTTTCCAGAATGTTTGTGAACATTTACACTGTTTACTGCCAAGCAAAGATTAGCCAATTTCCAGTACAAGATTATTGCAATACTGAATACTAATTTTTAAGCAATGCAGAAAATATTAATCTCAGATTTAAAAAAAAGATATTATACCAGCCAGTTAAGCATTCTCAAATGCTTATTCTCACAATAATAACCTTTCAGTATACCGAAAAAAATCATTACAGAAAATATCTCATTCTGCTCTAAACACAGCAATAATTGTAAGAAGCTTACTTACCCATATTTTTCTGCAAGTTCTTTAGCCTCTTCTTCCTTCACCATCCTTTGGTCCTCCAGGTCACTCTTGTTTCCACATAACACAATGTCTGGGTTTTCACAATACGCATGCATTTGTAGCTGACCTGGCAGCACCAACATGAAGAGGAGTCACAAGTCACTGCCACACACAGCTCCCTAGAACACTACCACAAACCAAGCTCGTTCTCCCTTGGCTCACAGCACTTCTCCACTTGCACTGAAGAACCAGAGAACAGGTGGGATTACACTGTCACACATCCAGTGAAAAACCCAGGCAAACAGAAGCCTGGCAAAGCTAGCACAGAAACTTGTGTATCTGCAGCTGAAGGAGTTACACTCACTAAGTATCTACAGCGAGCTGCCAGGAAAGGATCTACTTCCCTTTCCAGATGGATGATGCAGTTTGGCAACTCCTTTGCCTAGATATACCAGTCAAGTAACATTTGTCTTCCATTAAGTTTTGCTGACAAAGCTTCAGGTGAGTCAAAATACTTTTGGATAGGCTTCCCACACACCTAAATTACTACCAGAGCCAGGGATAGGATATTGACTCAGCTTTCTTTTATATATGTCAAGATCCAAGTTCAGTAGGCAAAACTGAATTTGAGGTGAGCCCTGGAAGCCATCACTAGCAGCTATTACAATTATGAATACAACACTTACATTCTTTTACTGAGAAAGCCATAAAACCCAGTATTTTAAGTTCTAATTCTCAGTGAGTCTCCGTATTTACAAGCATAACCCCCACTCCCCATTCCACCCATGCAAAGAAAGAAAGAAAAAAACAAGCCATACTTATCCAGTTCCTGACATTCAGAAAGCTTTGCTCATTTGTCAGATCAAAGAGTAGAAGAAACCCCATGGCATCTCTGAAGAAAGCTGTAGTCAAGCTACGAAACCTAGACCAGCAAAGCGAAATTAATTTGCTCATCTGACAAGTTACTTTGAAAACATAATTGCTTACAGTCATAGAAGAACTGAGGTAACTTAACACTGAATGAACCAGAAGGAAATATTCATAGTTGTTTCGCTGAGGCAAGGACTGTGTAAGAAAAATTGCTAACATTACTGTGGCCTAATCAAGGCCTAGGTCATCAAGGAGACTTGAGTGTGAGAGCTTTAAACAGTCCTCTACCATAAAGCATGTCTTGATCAAGATTCAAAACTTAAAACAATAAAGAAATTCTAACTTTGAACTAAAATTTATCCCCTATACACATCAGTCCTTGAATTTAAGACTAACAACCACAAGAATGCTAGTCTTTTGACAGGCCAATAGAAAAGAATCCTTTGAGATGCTTTTGCCTGTCTGACTTTCCCAAGACCCCAACATATTTACAGAAACTAAAGAGAACTTTAAAAAGACAAGGTTTAAAAGTATCTATATGCACTGGCTATGAAAAAAAAAATACTAAAAAGCAAGAATTACAGGTTTTGTGTTCAACAGTTGTAAACTACAGTTAGAATTTAATGGGTATTCATATGAAGCTACCATTGCTGTTAAAGTAAGCTCCTGTTGCCATCTTGAGCCATACCTTTCCTGCCCTGCAGTGTCCCAGAGCTGAAGATGGATCCTCTGTCCTCTGCCACCAACACCATCTGGCCCATTGGGTCTATACACCTGGAAAAGGTAAATTTGCAAGACTGTCCAGCTGCTACACAACACAAAAGAACTGACATTGAAAGTCATTAAATGCAGCAAAAGTAGCACTGCTGATGCACAGATCCCAACTACAACTCAATCCTCTTCTTTGTAAGGCAAAAGTAGTATGAGATGCATTTTAATATTGCAGCCAATTAAATATTTAGAAATAAGGGTAAAAGTGAAACTGCAAAACCAGTACCCAATAGACTATGGACTCCAGACAGATATTTAGACCTATGAGACAAGATTAATTTTAGTGTTTTGATTTTCTGGATTTTTTCACTACCTTACATCATGTTCAAAATAAAATACAAGAAAGCAACAATGCAATTTGGTGATGTATTTGTAGTAGCAGAACCTCATTAGCAAACAGAACATATTCAGAGATAATGACATCTATACTTAGCTGCCAAAATGCTGCTGAAAAATTGCTGAGAGTAGATCTTATCAGATCACAGCTTATAAAGCAGAAATTGGATGAGAAAAAAAAGCTGAAGAGTTTGCTGAGCATGAAAAAATAAATAAGGGCATCTATTAGTCTTGGAATGATCAGATAAAAATAGATTCATTTCTTGTTTAGAATGCTTCGAGTTAGGTCATCTTCTTTACCTTCAAATGTCATAGTATCTAAGATTACAAAAGCTACAAACATACCTTTACACATCCACAAATTCAACAAGTTTATGTATTATAAATTCAGGCTCTGAAGCCTAAACCTTATCCTGAATTATCAAATAAGCTGATCAAGTAAACCACCATATTTACAATCCCACAAAAAGAACAATGACTTATTCAAGAGAGCAGTTTGGCATTTAACTAAGATATCCAGTCCTTGAACTGCTGTGGTGCATGTCATGCACCAAAAACCAGTCTGCACAATGCCCATTACAGCATCCAGATTTCTGGACACAGGAAATCACCGGGCTACGACGAAAGACATTTAATCTGCACGTAACAACAAACAGCTTGTGCCAGGACCAGCATCCAATTGGTTATGATACTCTAGTGCTCAGCTTCATATCAGAAGTACATTTGCTTAGTTTAATAACAATTCAGAGGTTGAAAAAAGCGACCTTATATTTCATAATTCTTCTCTGCTAGTGGCAACTGCTTAGGAAGCCAGATCAGCTGCATGTACCATTTCATCCACACGTTTAAAAACTGCATATTTGTTCAGTAGCCATTTCAGTTCATGGCCAGCAAAAACATTTTACTACAGTTCAGTCCTTCCTTGTGAAAGGAGTTCAACAGCAAAAGTGGTACTCCAGGTACTGTGTGCACAAGTCACAGAGTAAACACAGTCATTAACACCTGCTGAGCAAAAAGAAGCGGTTTCTGACAATCAGCTCCTTAACTTCTGGGGAAATGGGTCTGTACACAGCAATGACAAAAACAGCCAGGTCAGATGAGGCCTTTCCTGTCACAAAATGAATCACACAATAACACTGATTGCAGGCTTTCACACAGACAGACACCATTTTCAAGAGCACATTCTTCATAGAAACTCACCACTCTCTTTTCCCGAAAGTCAATGCCCACTGTTGTGATGAATTTGGAATTAAATTTGCCATCTGTATACTGGTAAAGGAGGCTGGTCTTTCCTACTCCAGAATCACCGAGTGCTAGGAATTTTATGAGGTAATCGTAGTCCCCATCAGACATAGTGAGAATTCAGGCGGCACCTTGAAAAGCAAAGCAAAAAGGAATAGTTAGTCCAGAGCTCTGCCAGGACTTCTGACAAATGTTTAAAATACAAATCACTCCCTGAACTACAAAGCAGGAGGTGGTGGGGCCAGTTTTGTGCTCCTTTATACAGACTTCACTTTAAGGTCTCATTTACACAAATTACCAATACCAAATTCAGTTGTGACTGAAAAAAGGCATTTTGTTTTTTACATTCCTCTTACTGGAAAGAGAAGGCAACGCAATTTTAATTTCCTCAGACAAGACTGAAAATCAAGGTCAAACTACTCAAGCAATCTGGAACATAAACTGCAGAACTGCTTTTAATCTTCAGGGAAGCTGGCAATAGCTACTTAATTGTACTAGCAATGCAATTCTGGTCTTATACTCACTATGTCATTAGTAACATATGAAAAAACATGAATTTTTTTCCTTGACTGTCCACTATATTTAAACAAAATTTACAGTAATTTTCTATTAATAGCTATTTTTCAGTCTTGAATAAGCTTCTTCTTGTTGTTGAGTTTTTGTTGTGAGGAAGAATCTTCAGTTTTTATAGTTTTTATTGTGATGCTAGCTAGCCATTCAAACTAAATCTTGATCCTGAATTGACATCTAAACAAACACAGTTTTTCTACGGCTTATACACATTTAAGAAATTGCTCTCTTTTTTGTCCCTTTTTAAAAATAACCATATTCTCAATGGTTTGATATAAGTACAGGAACAACTAAAATGTGTAACAAGAACCACTGGCAAATTTCATGTGTACTAGAAAAGCTGATGTAAGTGCACTGGCACTTTCCTGTTGAGTAGCTACTGAGCCTCTCCTCCCCCAAAACAAACAGTAGAGAGCTGCCTTGTGCTGTGTTCAAAGACACGAACATGAAAAGATAAGCCTAAAATAACCACTCTAAAAGCAACAGAAAACTGGCATAAAATTGCCTCTTACAAAGGACAGAAGAAGATGCCAAAAATACAAAAAAAAATAGATGATAAAATAAAATTTTAAAAGAGTAAAATCTGCTGTTTCCACTGTAAGTATTTTTGGAACTACTTGTAGCTTGAACTAGATAAAGTTATTCATTTCAAGTCAAACACTGCAGCAGTTTGCATCAGTGGCAAAAAAAAAAAAAAAAAGCCAATTCATTTCTTGAATATCAACTCACAGCTTGAGGTGTGGAACAAACTGTGTCTCCAGCATGTGGGCGTCAATCACCACCACTCAGCTAAAACCGTAAGTATCTTTAAAGCTTCACCTTTATAATGGTCCCATTCTTGGTTACAAGTCAGAACTGTGACTAGTTGATGTGGCCATAAGTGGCTTACTAAAAAGCAGACACTGGTCAGATTTACCCCAGATATTCTCCAGCTAAAGAGTCAGTGGAAAGCAGACAACACTTTTTTTCCTTTTTGAAAAGCACTGAAGTCTCCCTTTCCCAGCCAATGTACATTTCACATTATGCCATCAATGCCAGTAAAAGCTTGCAGGAAAAGGGGTTTAGGTGACAGAGTTCACACTCACTACTATGCCACAGTCAGTGAATTCACTTCCTACTGTTGTGTTTTAACCAAAGTTTTGCAATGGAGTAGAAGGCAGAAAGGGTGAGCCTTGCAGCAAGAGTTATCAGTGACCTTTTTACATAAATGCAACCCACTGCAGACTGCATCCACCGTGCAGGTCTGAAGGAGCAGCATATTCAAGTAAGCAAGTTGAACAGGCAGCCCAAACACTGACATAAGAACATTTTCAGAAATTAAGAACCCTGATCCATTAGACACACTCGCATGTATCAGCAAAAATAATTCAGGGGGAAATGTGTTTCATTTTTTAAATCCTCTCCCCAGCTGGCAAAGGAAAAAGTAAAACTCAATCACCTACCTTGTAGCTCCACCAAAGTCCTTTCATTGAAATGTAACAGAAAAAAAGGAAAAACATTTTTTAGAAATAGATTGATTTTTCTAAAGACTGCATTTGATTTAGACTTCCATCTCACATACGGTGTTTCCTTTGCCCTCAGTGTTCTCAAAGGGCTAAGAGCTGTGTAACCTCATCCTCTACTCAAGCACATGTTCTTTCAGTCTCAATATCCCTAAATTAATTGTTGCTTTAAAAGACTTAGATGTAAATTTTAGGGCCAGTATATTACACAAAGACAAGCTTTCTCCATGCCTTTTACTGTGCTACTGTACAGAGGTATTTGCCTTGTCTTGTTGGTTTTCTGTAGGGTCGCTATAGGTGTACAGAACATATTTTAATAACAAGTACCAATGACAGTGCGCCTGATCACTGCTGATTTATGTACCCTGTGCAAGACCACATAGAGAAAGGAAGGAAGAGCACTGCAGCCCTGCCATGGAGCTGTAGGGAAGTGTTACAGTTCAGCTGCACCTTCCACTGGACAGGGTTGCATGAAAGCTCTGGCCAAGATTAGGCCTTGGGGAAGTAAAACCTAAAGGTATTCCCAGTGTCATATCTGATTTGTAGAGTGTCTGTCAGGACAAACACATCTCATTTGGCCCACTGAAACCTCACTTCTCTCTGTGGCTGGTACAAAATACAATTTCCAAAGGACTGACAGAGGGTGAGGAAACCTTCACAGGAAGGGTTCTAAAAATGCCTTCTAAAAGATTTGCTTGAGAAGGAAATTTTCTCCTTTGGTTTTGAAATGCACACACCTCTCACTGCACCCCATAATGTCAATCTATTATTCAAATATCTCCAGGGAGTGGTTCTTGTGAAACCCTGCACAGTTAGCCTATCCTTGGAGACATGTAAAGAGCTATTTTCATAGCAGTTTCAAGCTTTGTCCTCCTCCCTGTACAAATATTTAAAAAGTGATCTCCACCCTCTGCTTCCGAGACCTGCAGTCCTAGTGTCCAGACACATCCAGTTTCACATAATAGAAATAAGATTATATTCATTGCAAAGTATATTCTCAGCAAAAACTGCTGTGAAGCTTTTAAAAATCATGGCCCTGCTACTAAAACCCATCCCAGTTTTTCCTTCCAATTTTGCTTTTTTTTTTTTATTAGGCTTTTTACTTTCACATTTTCCAGTGTTTCCTTCTACTCTTCCATACCTCATATATCAGGATAGTAGGAAGTAGAAAAGGAAGATTCTGAAAAAACTGATACAATTAGAATTCACAATGTCACCAAAATAAAATCGTCCCCAATCTTGCTTCTAAGAGTAAGAACTCCTTGGTTTAAAAAAAAAAAAAAAAAAAAAAAAATCACTAATGGACACAGTTTTAAACTCCACATCAAGCCTTCCATAGTTTTGCCGGTTGCAAATCCCTCCTGAAATCCCATTCAGCTCTGGCTTTGCACTTTGCCTGGTATGCAGATGGACAAGAGCTGTGAACAAACGCTGGAAAAGCTCCAGGGGCCTTTTCCATGGCTGACAGGACCCCCACTGCCAGCATTTGAGCTGTGCCTGTACAGCTGCTGCTCTGGAGCCTCCACACACACACACAGATTGTGCTTTATCAAGAAGGGATTCTCTGCAAATCAAGTGCTCCTCTTGTTCCCTGCATTTCCTCGTCCAAGGTATTTTCAACTTACAGACATCAATCTTAATGGGCTCATCTTTTTGCTTCTGGGACACAGATCACAGGACTATTGTGTGATAAAACATTCCAGACTAAGGCAGATTTGCTCCTGTATAAATTAAGGAAATTGGCTTGGCATGCAAAATTTCCCCCATGCAATATGGGAATAGGGAATATGCTTCCTGAACTGGCCTTACACAAAACATGCAACTCCTGTGCTGCTACTGAGCTGATGTAGAAAAGGAAAAAGAAGGCAAAAGAGATGAATGCATGGAAACACAAGCAAAAAAAAAAAAAAACCCAAAAGCATTGATCTGCAAATAAAAACATGTATACATACACACAATGTAAAATTCAGGAAATCTGAACATGCCCTTAATCAGACAGTCCTCAAGCACATCACTTTAAAGCAACGTCTAGCACTTACCCCAGCTCTGCAAAAGGAATAGTCAGGGCACACTGGAGATAGTACTTCCAGTAGGAGTACTTTTCCAGCACCACCTCTTCAGCACACAGCCAAGAGGCTTACGTGTCAGCTGTTTGCATCCACGTTGATGGGTGCTCAGAGATAAAGAGGTGTGCCCATGTCTGTGTCTAGGAGGGTGCTGTCTCACTGCATGGCTGCAAACAATTACACAGCTCACACGTCCCTTCTACTCCTAGAAGCAAAGAGCATTTCAAAAGAGATTTGTGCAAGACCTTCCTTGGAACAGATCTAAAGTTGCTGCAAAATCACCCACACACTTCAAGACAATCACGTTGTTCCCAGCAAGGGTTTTCATTTAAAAATGCATTAATGATGGAGTACATGAATCACACCTGTCCAGTTCCATTCACAGCTTTACATTCTTTACCTCAGGTTTGAGAATACAGAAGTCTTTAATGCAATCTGCTTCCTTTCTGTTGAGGCTCCATGCTTGTGACTAGAGTTGACATGGGCATTGGGGAAGAATGAGTCCAAAATCCCCCACAGAGAGAAAAACAAGACACTGCAGGTCTCTCAGAGGGCAATAATGCATTTGTACAGATTTGATTATTCTGCAAGTGCACATCAATTCGTAGTAATTTTTTTTTACCAAGGCACTACACAAACAAGCTTCAAGAGTGTTTTATGTGTCTCTCCATCGCTGAGAAAGTGATCCAGAGTGCAGAGGAGTAAGTTCAGTAATGCTGTCACACCAGCACTGCCATCACACTACAGCAAAGCAAAAACCACATTCCTGCTCAGCGTGGGTGAAGCACACTGAATGGCCTCACCCTGCTCTAAGGCTCCAGCAGCACCTGAATGCTTGAAGAACTGCTCAATCAGACACCAGCCAGCTCTGTCCAAACACGGCACAGAGACTTAAATAATGTTCCTGCTTAGTCAGCACTTTGTTACAAGCGCTTTGTTAAAAGCTGCCAGATCCGTGCAAATGTCATGTAAATATATCATGACAACAATTGTTCATAAACTCAAGTACCTGCTGTGCTGGGGGAAGAGAACTAACGAACAAGCACTTCACCAAAATGTTCTGAGCTGCACTATTGTTTTTCTTAGGAAAACGTATGACTTGGCTTGCTTTAGTTTTGGTCAAAATGACACTTTCTGTAACTTCTGGGGCTTTGCTGTAACATAAATAACATGAAAAAAGAATAGTCCTTGGTTACTTTCAATTGCTTTACCTGACATTTTACTGTTACGATGTTTTTAGTTTCAACTGTAGAAGAATTCTAAGGAAGATATCTAAGGAGTGCCTCTTTCTTGGAAAGATCTAACCAATTTTAAGGGTGCTCAAGATACATAAGAATCTGCAAAACACAAAAACACAGGCTGGAAGATTTTAACCTCCAAACACTCATGTCACTTTTACTTGGCTGAAGGTGCTCTGCCATTTTTCAGCATCACTACAACTGCAGCACTTAGAGAGCACAAAGTGATGGGCACACAAAGCACTGTGAGAGTGAGTTACTATGGGACATGCTAGGCAGAAAATGATAATCCCACCCAGAAAGGGCACACAAAAGGGAAGCAGCAGGTCTGATGTGGTGAGAGCCTTGCACAACAGGCCAGGCAAGGAAACAGCAGGTTCTAGACTTTGTTTCCAGAAAACCAGGAGACTAGGAATGGAGGAGCCAGGAAATGAAACAACAGTTGGTTTTGCAATTGCATTTGCATTTCAGCATCACCAAACCAACTATCAGGCAGCTGGATTTCAAACGTTATCTCAGTTACACAAATGAATGAAAAGCAGCATGGAACTGGGGGGAAAAATGAAGAATAAAAGCAGGAATGTTGCAGATGGTTATTCAACACTCCCCATACAGGAGGACCTTTGTGCAGCTTCAACTTCTGTGCAAAAAAGCACAGCACCATCTCTATTCCCTCATCAGTTCCTAACATTTTCATGCTCCATAGTAAGGAAATACTGTAGATAAATAAAGATTTGCAGTACTATGTGAGGAAAACAGTTGAAATCTCTCAGAGGACCTGTCCCCATCCCGGGAACAAGAGCTTTTGCCTCACAAGTTACCTCTTTGCACTCTCATCAGAACCCCCTTTCAAGTCAGAACACTGAAGCAAACATCTGTATAAAGTAAATAAGCTCCAGAGTAAACTGGGAAAAGTAAAGCAAGCATTTTTAATTTCTTTTTAAGCAGTTCCACACTACTTACTCCATCCTCAACCATTCCTCTCTTCCTCTAACAAATACATTAAGCCTCACTGGCTTCCAAGTGTGCTTCTATGCTTTTTCACTAACTTATAAACAGGAAATTCACAGCAATGCTCAGCATTCTCCCTAACGTGGAGGAATAATCTGGCCAAATAAATTACCTTCATTAGGACAATCAGAAGTCAATGAAGAAGGTCAGCTACCAGACACCTGAAGATACCTCCTAATCATTGCTGGATAAAAATGAAGACCACACAAATATGATACAAATGGGACTATAAAACTGCGCCATTCATCTAACATGATATGGGCAAGCATACAAAGGGGAGAGGCAGGAAAGAACTGCAGTGCAGAATTTAATCGACCTTTTCATCCTTTGGATTGGGAAATACATGGGGTTTTTGTTTCTCATAGCAAGTAAACCCCTTCCCTTGCTAATCTGGTTGTTAATTGGAAGATACAAGAACCTTTTTTTCAGCAGTCACTGCCATTCTTTAGCATGATTGCTTTTCTGTAATATTGAGATCTAAACTAACAGGGGCCACAGTATAGAGGATTTCTAACATTTTGATCTTCTAGTTATTTCTTAGAAAATTAAATGCTTTCTCATTATTTAGGTGCCATTGAAACATCCAAAAATTTTGAAGTCCATCACGAGTTATTCTGAGAGCAGCTAATCACAAGGCATCATGGCCTTTTGGAGCAGGACTAATGTCATCATTCTTCCAGCAAACAGTGAAAACATCCTGTTCCTCAGAAAATTTACTGGTTATTAAAGTTACTGACATTTCTAGTGAGCTGGAAAACTCTATTATCTATGGGTATCAGGCACAACATCAGGAGTAATAAAAAGTTACTGGTGAAAATATTTAATCAGAGGGATTTCTTAAAAGAATGTATCAAAAAGGACAAAATAAGTTCTTAGTTATCTGTGGGAAAGCAAGGGAAACTGTCAGTTAAAACCCCTCCAGCAACGAGAAAAATGGACACAGAACAGACAGACAGAAGGATGGATCTAAATTGATAAAACTGAGGCTCACAGCTAGCATTCACTTCTCCCAAGCTTTTAAAAATCAGAAAATGTTGACAGAAGCATCCTTGCAGGTGCAGAGCTCACTGGACCTACCCGAGATTGTGCTGCCATGGGAAGCCAGTCAGAGCAGTGCAGGCTGGCAGCAAGACACTTCAAAGAGTCTGAGAGGTGGGTGGCAGCTGTGAATTATCTGCTCCTAAGAAGTCTCAAAAAGAAACTGAGCCTTTAATTTCAGAGTCTGTAATAGCTATAGTCTTGAGAAAGAAATTTTCAGCCAGTACTGAGCGGGAGTTGTTCAGTAAACATGTTTGGAGATAGTGAGTGTATGTGATGCTTCCATGTTTCATGTTTTAGAAATAACTTGCTGAGAATACTCTGGCCATAACTTAACATGCCCATTACATAATAAAACACCACTTCTGCCTGAAATAGGCTGTATTCAATAGGCCACAACCTGCTCTCTTCAGGAAGTCACTAACGTGTGGCAGCAAAGCAGAATCTTCACAGAAATCTTTGTGAGACAGCAAGACACAGCCACTGTGAAGCATGTTTGTAGCTCAAAAATATCACTCAAACTAAAGCAAAGCTAAAACTATGGTGTTTGAGTGGGCTTTTCTTTCAAGGATTGAAAGCCAAGCCCCTACTTCCACCCTATCCTCCACTTGATCAGCTCCGGAACTGCAGCACAAATTAACACTGCCCAAGCTGTCTACTGAGCCCCTGCAGTCTGCCAAAATACTCAGACAGTGCTTTGGCAAAATGCTGGCTTCAGTTCGTATCCTAGCACAGCTTTCTAGAGCCTCCAGGAAGGCATAATTCAAAAGAAGCACTGATTAAGCAGGCTGAACTGCTCAACACAAAGCTTCCATTCAAAAAGCCTGCTGTTTTTCAACCTGAGTTGCCAACAATATTTATCTCACTGCTCAGATCAGAATCCCATAATACAGCATGAATTATAGTTAAAGCCTGATACACAACAAAGACTCCTGAGATAAACAGCACAGCAAACCAGAATCTGTTACACTAATTGGTGTTATATACGAATATATGAGCAAGGAAAGCACAATTCTAATGCTACAGTTTGCCCATACCTTTCCTTTTAGTTATTCCCAGATGGAGGGAAGGCCTCAGGATGGCTGTGGAATAAAACCCCACCTGAAACCTGGCAGCCATTGCCAGCTTTTCATGCCGTAGGTGCCTTCCTAAAGAATTCTTTCATAACATTTCATGCACACAAAGCATCCTCAAGTTTCACTTGAACTGACCTACAGTAACAGGCAATTCCCTACCTCTACCCTTAGAAGGCTTCAATTAAAATTCAGAACGGTTCTGTTTATAGCTAATAAATGGCAGTGAGCTTACAGAACAATCACCTCTATAACCCAAGTTCCAGAAAAAATATACAAAGCTTTTCTATGAAAATAAATCACCAGTCAGAATGCTCTAACTGATCCAAGCAGTACAAGTTTCCTGTTGAAAACTGTCAGGGAAATGCATATGCAGTTATCACACCACAGTACATACAGACTCTTCTGTCTTGGTGAGAAACCAAATAGAAACGTTGCCTGCTTGTGAAGAACTCAAAAATTTCACACAAACTGGCAAACCACCAATGCTACATCATAACTGAGAAAGGCATCAAACCTCTGAAATGAAGAATGGAATAAAAAGGGTAAGTATATAAAGGGCAAGGAAAGAATCTATTCAGCTGTGCCTGTCAGTGCACAAGTCACAAGAAAACGGGAATATGTAATGGTATTGTCCCTCAAGAGTTTATATATGAAAAGTCTCATTAAAGTAGGTGCTAGTGTTTCATCATCTGCTGACTGACTTTGGCTTGCAGCATTTGGATTGATTTTAAATCAGTGTATGTGATTTACTACAGAAGAAACTAAGAATCCAGTAATGAGATTCCAGTAAAAGCAAATAACTATGTGAAAAAAGAAAATCTCAGTTAGCACTAACCAGTACAGCTGCAGTGCCTATAGTGGCGGTGTGCTAACCCACCCACTCACTCCCAGAGAATTTCCTCACCAAGATCCCAGTTCTTCTGTTTATACCAACACTTGTATCACAGTGTATCAAAACAGAGCTTTTTAAAAAGAAATTATATCTCTATGACACAGCGTTTAAACAGAACTCAGAAGCAGGAACTATACTGTTTCCTAGTAATGAAGTAAAACATTTTAGACCAAATAAAAGTTACTCCTTTTTCTCCTTCCCATTGTCTAGAGCTTATTTCCTTCCTTCTGCTACGATACCTTCCATATCTTTTTCCTTTAACTGTTTTAAGATTTTTGAGGTCATTCCAAGTTTTCTATAGTTTCAGAACTTTTGCTGGTCTTCTTTTTTCTACTTATTTTCTAAAGAAAAAGAAATTACAATTTGTCTTTCATGCTTAAAGAAGCCCAGCTAAATTAGATTCCCTGTTTGCCTTTACCAAGCTTAATTACTAAGGATATTTTGTTTAAGATCGTGTTATAAACTAAAAGCATGTTGGAAACATGCAAATATACAGAAATCCAGCAAGAGTATGGTGAGGGAAAGGGTGGCAGCACCAAATACTAGCATATTGTTTTGCAGTGTACAAAAGAATCCAACATTATCAAAGTTTAATCCTCAAATAACTAAGGCTATTACAAATCACTACACTAAAATGTGCTAGAAATAATTGCTGTAACACACATTCAAAATGCACATGTAATGTAATAAAATGAAAATATTATATAACAGTAAATTACAGTGAAGCAGATACAACAACCAATCCATCCACACAGCACAGGAAAAACAATAAGAGTGAGCCAAGCATCCGTGTTTACAAAATCCTTTTTCCCAGTTACTTTATATAAACTTTTCATACACTGGGGATAGCTATAAGGAAACTACAAGAAAATATATTTATTGAACTACATTTATGAATTTCTCACTTCTCTCTCATAAACACAAGTCAGGTGGTGATGATCTGGAGAAAAAAAATCATCCTAAGACATTCTATGCTAGACATCAAATAAAACCCTAGGAAAGCCTTGTGACCTCCACACAAGTGGAGAAGAATACCATTTTTTGTTCTCTGAACAAGAAAATTTTGGTTATTTACAGTCTACAAAAACTGGAGTTTT